ATATATATATATATATATATATAATAAAGTCACGGCTGGTATATCCATGTCGAAATTCGATTGATAAAAAGAGCCGATTCTCCTTGAGATATTGGAGTTTCGATGCGGATAGACCGTTTGGTTCGGATCGATGACTCGGATTAAAATTTAATTACAGCCGATATTAATCAGATGGTAAAAAAGGAGGCACGGTGCCAAGCGGTTTTTGGCTGACGCGTTACACGCTTTGCTGTGAAGGTGTAAAACTGCCACTATAGAAAAAGGATCTTTATACGTATATATACGTATATACAGAACGTACCACCTACGGTTCCTATACCACCAACAGCCGTTATGTGCCTATATAGATATACGGCTACGTATAGGTAAAGGGGTTAGAGCTGGATAGAGACAGAGACAGGCCAGAGGGGGAAGGGAGGGATTACTATACTTCTCTATATGGGAGGTCAGCGCACAAGGACAGGGTTGGCTTTGGGGATTCGAGGTTGGAGGTTTTCTCGACGACGTGAAACCTAAGGGTAGTTTTGTACCACTAGTAGTAGTGGTGGTTGCCTCTAATGTGATTGGTTTACTGCCCCCGGAGAAGCCAAGACTTATACCCCAGCAAAATGGAATTAGTTTTTCGCAATTTCGCGCAGTCCATCGTTCTAAGTGGGTGAAGCCCGTTCCTTCTGGACTGGCCAGAGAGAATCAAGAGAGAGGTGAAGGGGAAGAGAGAGAGAGAGAGAGAGAGAGAACCGTCACGGTGGTAGGATCCTGCCTCACCGGATACATTACTTTTGTCAGGACCAGAAAGAAAGAGACAAACGTATCACCACCGAAATATTCGCTCTTCAATTTACTCCCCTGGTTGCCTGTCAGCCGGTTCACTCCCTCGCTGACGTACCGCGCGAGCCGTGGCAATCAAACGAAAGAATTGGAATACTTGGGGAAGTAAAAAAAACAACAAAGAATAGTATAAAACTCAAATACACAAACTTTAGGTAATAAGATTTTAATCGAGTCTGACCAAGGTCAAAGTAGTCCCAGCGTGCGATACTTCGGTAAGAATGGATTTTGGACCTTTTTCACGAAACCGCTATCTCCGTCTCGCTCTCACCCGTACAAACCCGCATAAGTACGTCTCTCCCGCACTCATTGGAGTATACACGAATTCACTAAAACACAATTCACTTGCTCGATCCGACCGATTCTCTCGCTCGCGTCACCGTATGCGATGAAACTGGATGAAACGCGCACGGGGTTAAACAGTCAGCTGTGAAGTGTTCTCTTACTCCCGCTATACTGATTTCCCACTGAATTGATCCATTTCGTGACGCAATGGGTGATCGCCCATTCGGAAGGACGAGAATCACCGCGAGAAAGGAAGGAACAAGGGAAGAAAAAAATAAAATTTTCGATCTCGATACTTTTACTTGGCGTGTGCCGTCTCGACGGGCCGATCGATCTCAGCCACCTTCTCTCCTTCTTCTTCCTGCCTTCTCCTCTAACGTGGAGCGGTATCCAGTCCTGTACTCTCCATTTCTCTGTCTCTCTCTCTCTCTCTCTCTCTCTCTCTCTCTCTCTCTCTCTCTCTCTCTGTGTCTCCCACCACGTCGTTCTCTCTCGATCTACCGCGTGCCCCCACCCTCTCACTATCTACCGATATTATTGTCGAACGCCGCTTTTCCCGGGGATTTAGGAAACCTATGAAGTAAATAGGAGTCCTGGCCGCTCTGCCGTAAAATTGTATGTGAAATTGTGCAATGTGTCTTGCGAATTGAATTGCTAGTAACGACATTGATTTTATTGCTTGTTTCGCCGTTGGCCCGCGGGGAAACTCGCTTATACGGTATACGCCCATTACCGTAGGAACCGGAAACCTCGGCTCGCTCCCTTAACGGTTGGTGTACCGTCGCGACATTTCTCATGGTGGGTGTACGGTTTAAGCAAAAAAAAAATGCTCCCCCGCCCCGATCTTTGTATAAAGATGAACTTTTCTTAACATACTGTACCGCGATCGAAGAACATCCGAAAACTAGCCTTGGACTATCCCTTTGCGTATATCCCACGCAAGAATCCGAAATGTTAGTTTTCCGCAGTCCGGGGTGAAGTCGATGCTCGTAAATCGATTTTCATAAAGGGATAATGGAACCGACGGGACTGTACCAATATCCAGAGTTTCGGTTGACAGGTACGGGCGAGGTTGAGTCGGCCGAGCGGTAGCTGAAAAAGGGTTGGAAAATGTCGGGAAGCCCAGAAAGTCCCGTCCATAATTTGTTTTCAATGATTTACGGGGGCTAATTGCAGAATGCAGCGAGCGGTAATATCGCTTTGCAGGTTACGTCGGGAAGCTATACTTTAGTTCGCAATTTAAACTTTACTTCCTCTGGAATTGATTAGCTTTTAGTAATTAAGCAAGCAACGCCTTGGGTCCCCCCCCTCTCTCTCTCCCTCTCTCTCTCTCTCTCTCTCTC